GGTGTGAAAGGACCCTTTCCACTATTTTCATGGGGACCTCTGAAGAGTAGGGCTTGAGCCATCCACCCAAGGGAGTACAGGTGATTTGCTTGCCATGCTAATCCTGGCAGCAGGATTACTCAGTGGATTTGTTTTCCTGACCTTAACCCCTCTGATGGCAATCATTACTCTCCAACTCTTCCTCCCCGACAAGTTGGACTGAGCAAGCTTGGTATTTTTCACATCTGTCAACCAACAGGTTCTCCATGCTGCTGGTCATCTGAACAGCAACTGAAATACAAGCCCATATATCTGCAACAGTAAATGTCTCTTTTCATTTTGAACCAGGGAGATGCAATGTTTAACCATGCAGGAGTAAGCTGAAGAGTGGCATTTGTGAGGAGGAAGAAATTATTTAGGCAGCTCGTACTGTGAACTAGCATGATGTTTTTGGATAGGAAGAAAGGGAAAAAAATCCTTTAAAGCTATGTAGGAACATCACCAGATGCACTATTTGAACTGTTAGTTAATGGTAAAATGAAATATTTCCTACCCATGAAAGTACAAATCATGTATTGAATCAGATTCCAAAGATGATGTAGTATGATAAGAAATGCCAAAAGTGTTGTGCAGAATGCTAACTCCTGTGAGAAAATAAGAAGAGTGCTTCACCAGTGTTGTCATCACATGAACTAGTCATTATCACTATGTTCCGTGAAAAAGCTCTGTTTCCACAGCACTTTTCCATGATATACTTTAATTAGAGGAAGGGAGTAAATACAGTGGTGTGAAGAACATCAGCTGGGTTAAAAAAAAAATAAAATAAAAAATAAGGGAAAATAGCATTTCAGAGTGGGTTGTGTAAAACCACATGCAGGAAAAATACAGAGCTGAAGTTCACATACTTGAAAATGATTACTGCCACATGACAGCAGTCATTTCCTTTATCACATAGACAGAGCTCAGTTTAGATCCTTAAATCTGACCACAGCATCATCTCACAGCATCACCTCACTTGGTCACTCTGCTTTTCCTATTCTTCTGCACTTTTCTGCTTCTTGTGCTTTCCTATCTCTTGTTCTGTCTCCAGCCCAATGGCAATCCCGTCTTCAGCTGTTTCCCCTGCTCCTTTCTCCCCCATCACCAAAATCATGAGCTACTCTTCTCAACATCCTCCTCCTTCTTCCAAAATGCCAGTGTCACCTATGACCTGGGAAAATATTGAGATGCAGCAAAACTCACATACCAACAGGAACTGACATCTTTCCTATGTGCCTGTTTTTGCTCCTGGTACTCAATGAAGAAAGTTGGGTACCAGGCTGCTGTCGTTTTTCAGATAGCTGCCCACATCAATCAGGAAATTCACCTACTACTGAATTTACCTACCTATGGTGAGGTTAAGCTGCCTGGTCATCAGTGTAACTGATAAGAAGAAACAGCACCAATAAATTTTACTGTGAATTTATTTTTTGCCAGCTCATTTTGAATATACTTAAGAGGATAATGTCATAGTAGGTTTGATAATTTTAAAGTACTTTTGTTTTTAATTCCACTCAAATATTCCCAAATCAAACCCTGACTTGAAAAATAGCCACAGAAATTTAGTGGCAAAATGTTGCTTTTGTTAAGAAAGTCAGTGAAGTCAGCCACCAAATTCAAGTGTCACTGACTGAAACCTCTAGCAGAAGATAAATGCCCCTTTTATCATATCTCTGTGAACTCCTTCTCCTAACTTTTTGCCTGGCACATGATTGTTTATCTATTGTCTTACAGTCTGTAATTGTTGACTATATAGCTGCTTACATATGCTATATAGTCATATCCAGACTTAAAGGAAACAGCACAAGATACTTAATACCCACTTTTGCTTTCTCTCTCTCTCTCTCACAAACATAATCTCCCCTCATTGCACACATACAGGTAATTGCTTTGTTAAAACATGCGGCTAGAACCTGTAAATTATGATGGTTTGATTTACAGAGTGCTGCTCATGGGCTGGTCACCAGACACTGGAGCTGTAGTGTACAAATCCTTGCACAGCTCCCTCAGCTCTGTTCCTTGTATCTTTAGCCCATGTGGAGTTTATAAACATGTGCTGAAGGAGGATTGTTCAAATTCAGGTTATACCAACTCTAATATTGTCATTTTAAGGAAAACATCCTCTGTACTCAACACATCAGTATCTGTTATCCTATCATGATGCTGAGTGTCTAACACTAAGCTGAAATGTATTATCTTCATGCTATCTTTTAATAAAGTCTCAAGAATCCTTGGAACAATCCCTCTGCCACAGATCTGAACCCAGGAAATCAGACTCCTTACTGAGCGGCAATCAAACGCACAAGAAGGCTCTGGGTGTTTGTATAGCTTCGTGCTCACATGGGGAAGCACTCCAGGTGCAGCCACAGAGCTGCAGAAGGCGAAGCCAAGCCATAGCTGCTCATGCTCAGCCAGTCATGGTAGGACAGCACATACACAGACTGTCAGCAGGTGATGAGAGTAATCTCATGCACAGGATTTCTCTGTCACTAACACATGCAAGAATCTGATGTGCAGAGACATCACCGGCCTCTCCAATAGCTCCTGTGCATGAGTAACTTGGATAACAGCTGGCACAAGCAAGGTGCACTGGCAGGTAAGCAAAAGCAACCACCAGCATGCTGCTTTGAAGCTACAGTCAGCCTGTCACATATTGAAACCATCTATAAATCCAGTGGATTTGCTGAAACAACAATTTGTGCTGTTTTCATATTTTTGAAATTGTTCTTATTCTTTAGCATGCAGAGGAAAATGAAGTCACATTTTCCTTAACAACTGCTGTTCCCGCCTTGCTGCACGTCCCAGCCCTCTGGGGTGACTTCGGAAGCACTGACCTTGGACATCGCTGCAGTGGCATTACTTTCCTTACCACTCCCTGGTGCACTCTCCTCGATTGTTGCTGCTGTCGGGGCTTCTGCCTTCTTTGCACTTGTTTCCAGAGAAACAGGAGTCCCTACTTTCCCCAGCCCACTCACCGGGGTTGAGCTTGGACTGCTTGGTCGCCGTGATTGGGACTTATACCAGCTAGGGTAAAACAAGGGATCGATGGTTTCAGCTGTGGCCGGCACTTGAGTGTCAGACTCAGGAGTCTGTTGAGAACCACTTGGTGTCACAACAACATCCTTAATCAGGACAGATAAAGAGAAGAACAAGCAGAGTGCACCACGTTACCTTCCTGCTGTAGCCACATTGTTCTGCATGTTGTGTTTGTTAGATATAACTGCAAGGCATAGGTTTGTCCTACTAATAAGATGTGAAAGAATTGCAATCAAAATGCTAAGCAAAAGCAACTATCATTTGAATAACATAAACAAGAGAAAGAAGATAAATGAGCCCAACAATAGAACAGGAGGGTAGAACTAGCTGTGAAGGGAGTGCTAACTGAGAAAGAAATGTGCAAGGGGTTCCTTAATTCAGATAAACTCACAATTCAATTTGAAAATCTTAAGGAATTCTGCGTAAGAGCTTCATGAACCCATACCAGCCATGAATAAGAGGTGTAGGTACCTACAAATGGCTTGTTGGGTTTTAGGTTAAGAGTAACTCTTTTGCCAGTGAGTCTGTTGATATGAGCAGTCAGAATAAAGGGAATACTGGAGAGAAGCATTTGCCCACTGTAAGCCTTGCCATTAATGCTGTAAGCCAAGCAATGTTGCTGTGCTAGGAAGAGGAGCAGCCAGATGAACTGCACCTCTCTATCTGCATCAAGCTCTTGGGGTTTCTGCACACAGTCTGTTATATCACCACTGCATTTTTGCTTTGCCTTTTTATACCAGAAGGCAAAAACTCAAATACAGGTATCCCCTACACCACAGCACCCACAAACCATGTCTGTCTTTATGCCTGACTATCTCCTAATGGCATTTTACAATGTCTAGAGCAGCATGCTGTACCTTTCTCTATTTAGCCTTAAGAAATTAGAGAATTCATGTTGGTGGGCAGAATTACTAATGTCTAGTTCTTGTTTGAATAAAACCTTGCATTAGTTAGGGAACACAAGTTTAGTTAAGTCACTGCAAATCTTCAAATTTTGATTAAATCAGTAAAGCCTAATTTAAGAGCATCTTCGCATGACTGGTGAAAACTCACGAAAGTTTTTAGATCAAAGAAAGAATGAATCTATAGTATTTATTTTCACTCATTTTATGTGGGGAGCTTGCTACAATCAAAGATCCTTTGTGTGCTTTCTTGCTTTCACACAGGCCTCCTCAAATATATTCACAGCAGCCTTTACCCCCTCAGCAACTTCACTGAGTAAATTGTGTAAGAGGAGAATTTACTAAGTTTAATGGTATGCAAGGCAAACTAAAGTAGCACATGAAGTATATTTTTAAATGTACATCTTTTAGAATATGCAGTAATTATGGTCTCATTCTAGTCAAATTCCCTAAGAAAAGTGTTGGCTTAAAATACTCACACCCTGAACCTGTTTGCTGTTAGGTTGTAAGAGGCAGTTTCCTCTCCTCTTTGGTATGATATTCTTGCATCTACCTAGACATATCCCAAGGATGATGAGAGCAGAAGGCAGCAAGCACCATTCACAGAAAACAGATTAGAAGTATAATCTAAAAACTGGAAAGCTTCCTAAATCCAGAGGGAATACCAAATTCTCTTAGTATAAATATTTTAAAAATAATTTGATTTATAACAGTTAGTCTGAGTTAAATCACAGCAAGCAGAACATTCGTTATAATGCACTTAACTCCCAAACTGAGTCTTTTTTATTTATAACTTATGTATCCCATATATATATCTTAATTTATCTAGCATCTAATTTTTTGCTTATCAAGTTATACATGCACAGGTTGAAGTAAAGTTTCATATATGGGTACAAGGGCAGTAAATAATTTTGCCCTCCAGTGCATCGACTCCCTTAGCCCTGAGCCTGACTTGGTGCCCACAGGGCACAGGGGAGCATTTTCTGGCTCTGCCAGGTGCACTCAGCATAACTGGCAGGTCAGTGGGACAGCAGAGACGTTTACCTGACCAGCTGGGGCAGCTGGAGTGGGTTCAGCCAGCAGCTCTCCCCCTGCACTCTGTGCTTCGGAGTCCTGCTGAGGTGGCTGTGGTGCTCTCTCCGTGCCTTCCTCTTCCACCTCTTCCTCCTCTTCCTCCTCTCCTGATGACTCTGTGTGGACTTCACCCAGGCCTTCACCATCCTCTGCCTCCTCCTCTTCTTCTTCTCCCTCCTCCTCTGATAGGACATGTGTAAAAGGACAGGTTGAGCACCATGTGGCTTCAGTCTTAAGGTAATTAAAAAGCCATTTGCAATTGCACAGCAAAGTCACTGACAATCTGCCTGGCAGAGAGGGTGCTGGAGAGGAGCCTGCTCCCACCAGCCTGGACTGGGCACTGCCCTGGAGCTGCCATCAGGATCTTTGGGGCCAAACACACATGCTGGTTAAAATCTTAAGCTGGCCCTTTCCATGGGAAGGAGGACAGAAATTCCTGTCAATGCAGTTATCCTCATGAGGAATGTGCAGCACAGCCCTGTGTGTTTTGGGGACAGGCTACCTGGGATCTGGCACAATCTGTCATGAAAAACGTCCTTCTTCCAATTCTAGGTATATGTTTAATGCCATTGAAGCTTTTTACACAAAACATTTCACAATTTTTTACCAGGTCAGTGGTTGGCAATGCATGACTGGAGGTCTGAGATACCAACATGCCTAAACCAGATGCCAAACTGGATCAGACTGTTGCTTTTGTGCCATTTGACATATCGTGTGGTCTGCAGTTGTGGCTCAGGTTGTTTCCAGAGGAAGGTCTCTAGCAGTGGATTTTCTTTAGTATAATCACACCAGTTATCCTAAAAAATGTGCAGGGGCATCCTAGCACTTCAAAGAAATAAACCTAGATTTGATTATAATTGATACATAATGCTCTGGTTACATTTTGGCATAGAGAGAAATATCTGATTTGAGGCTTCCTACTCAGTATCATCATGTGAATCAAACACAGCTGCCATTTAAGAAAGAAATTTTGGTGAATAATAATAATAAAAAATAAATTACATACCTCTGTCAAAATCAATTTCTCGTATTATTTTTTCTTCTCTACTAAGATTCACTGTGAATTGGTTCATATTTTCATACCCATCCTCTATTTTTTCCATTTGAAATCCTTTAGAAGCTTCAGTAATTCTGAAATTGAGATTGGTTATTGGCATTGGATTTGAAGAGATATTTATAAATTTTAAGTGATTATAAAAAACAAGAGTCTCAAGTTTAAATACTTACTTTTGTAGCAATGTTTTGGCATTCTGTGGAAACAAAAAAGAAATAACTGATTCTCAAATGATTCAATTTTTCAGATATTTTATGCATTGAGAGATAGTTCTTACACTGGCAGCTTTTAAAAGCTAGTAAGGATTTCATAACTGACAGCCATGACATCTAGGAATGAGATGGAATTTGGAAGGTAATTAGTATACAGTTCAGTAAACCTTTTAGTTCTTCAGAGATATTTTAATTAAAATGTGAATATGATGGGAAATATGAAAGTTGGTTAAAAAAAAAGAGAAATTTTTTCATTGTGGTACATTTTTCCTTTGTGGTTGTGTTTGTGGTGAAAAGAATTTGGTCTGTTACCATTACCCTCTTTAGTCACAATAATTACATCTTTGATTATGCATGAGGGCATCCTTTTGGAGACACAAAGTTCTGTTTATTTGCCTTGGAATACTATTGTACTATTCAAAGGCAATTCTTTGATGAAAGTAAGTGTTGGTTGTTTTATTTTGGTTTTGTTTCATTTGGTAGAAAATGCCCTTCCAGCCTTTACTACAGAGGAATTGTAAACTTGCAAGACAGAAATTCTACACCAATTAATTCATTGGACAGGCTGCTAATGATTTCCTACTCATCTTGCTTAAGTTTATAGTAAGAAAACAGAAGAAAAAAACCCAAAAAAACTAAAAGCGTAAAAATGTAATTTAGTACATAAATTACTGAAAAGTTAATTTTGTCAATTTACAAGTGAAACCTATAATTCTCAGAAGTTCATATACACATAAGCATACTGTTCCCTGATGATATTGATGGGAAAATAAACATTAGTTGGAAAATATTTCAATTCCTATTTCTTCTAAGGGGACCAGAAATTCATACACGGGATAGTATATTTTGGTGCAAATAACAAATACTCATGTTCTTGATTTGGATACTGCCCACAAGAAGAGTAGTTATTTGTCTGAGCTGATTCAGGTGTTTAAAAAATGAGTTTGTATAAATGTTCAGTTGAAGATTAACAAACTCTGAATGGCTCTACAATTGAGAAATACTTATATATCAATAAACACATCGTTATTTTTCTATCTCTATTTATAGACATTATACCTGCAAAAACACAGCCATTTCTGGTTCTTCCATGAACTGGATTCCTGATTCAACTAGTTTTGACACTGCTTCCAAGTGATCCGCGTACTTCTTCATCAGGGAGCGGACGTGTTCCAGTTTCTCCTCTTGGGTTCTAGTGATTATTTGTGTCATCTCATTTTTTCTTTCTTCCAGTACAGAATAGAGATAATCAAATTTTTCACACAACTGTTCTTTCTGTCGTCTGCAGCATTCCTGTGAATCATTTGGTTTATGTTAAACATGTTATGTTCTTAAAAGGGTTTCTATTTTTACAGTTACTTGGAAGCATTTTCATCAAAGAAATTCCTCTTTCTGAACAGTGCAAAGGATTCTGAATGACCCCAGAGACTTTTGTAATTTTCAAAGTCCAAGCTGTTGGAACAAAAGTTTAAAAACTCTTCTCAAACTCTGAGTTTCAAGCCACTGAAAGCCCCCAAACAGGTTATTGTATAACTTGTGAGTCTGCTAAAAAAAGCAAAAAGGTATTTATGATGTCTGTAGTGATACATCAAAGTCTGCAGAAAAAGTAAAAGCTCCCACCGTATTAGCAGCTGGGTCCATTTGCGTGAACAGAACGGTTTTAAAAAGAGTGAGCATCTCAAACAGCTCTGGAGAATTTTCTTTTTCTGCCAGAGTACCTGGAACAATCCTGGCTCGATTTTCACATACGCCCTCTTAGACTCTATTTGGACAAGAGGTGTCCATTATATTTCATTTACTGTGCACTGAATGAGGTAGAGGTTCTGCAAAGAAAATGGTGTGTGACAGAAGCACAAAGACAAGAAGGAGGAATCAGATTCCAACCGTATGTTCAGGCACTGATTTTCACATTGTTTCTTGAGACACTTCTATTGTCCCTCCAACCAGAGAACAGAATCTTTCACTGAGTTAGGAGGATGGGTTTGATGACTGCTGCATTGAGTGGCTCTCTAAAAAGAACAAACTGCACTTGTAAAGGAGAATTTATGGGGAGGAAATGAGGGACAGATTATATATAATGTCTGAGGTCTACCAAATGGAAGTACTTGAGTCACCTGTGTGGCCCAGGGCATAACCTTATTGTGGTTAGACCTGGTTGTGGATGGTGGTGATTGTTTAAATCTCTTCCCTAGAAACTGAGGCTGAATTGATTCCTCATCTTCGTCCCTTGAGGCATAGTGCTGAGATTCAGTCAGCACAGGAGTATTTACAGTCCCACAGAATTTTTGGTAGTGATAAGACTTATTCACAGCACTTGGCTAGAGAGAATCCCATTTTTTTCTTGACTTCCAGCCAGACCTCATTCCTATGAGTGGTGACAGTCTGCTCGGTATCATTCAAAGGAGAAAGCCTTTCAGAGATCTACATTTGGCTAAAAATCATTGTCTATATGAGGGTGGAGAGGGGATTGAAAGCACATCTTGATGCATCGATCCAAGTGTCCACTTCTGCTTCTCAGTGAGGAGAGCTAGGCTAAACAAGCACTCCTTGCTGGGGGTGCAGGCTTGTCCTGCCCTTCTGGCAGTCCTTGTCACTTCCCAGAAATTCTTGATCAGTGCAATTACAAGATGGGGTTAACGAAGTTTTCAAACCAAGCGAGTCGTGGTTTCTGCGTGTCCTTCTATGTTCAGACCTCAAATAATATTCTCCCACTCCTCTCCTAGCTTTTTCCCCATGAAATGTCATTCAGATCACTTGTAAAACAACCTTAATTTCAAGACAGGTGTGTGCTATCTTTGTCATTTGACACAGGACAAGTATTAGGGGGGGAAGAACAAACAAATGATAGCAGGGTACCCTGAGAGATCCTTCCCTGTCTTTAAGCACTAATAGATAATATTTCCTGCCAGCAGATACTACAGAGTTGTGAATCTCAAGAGTGAGAGTGCAAAACTGTACTCTCTAACTGCAAATGCTGAAATATTTCTGAAATATTCTCTTTCTGTATAAAAAGTTCCCATATGAAGTCTCTGCCTGATGGAATTACTCTAATCAGATTCTGTGTAATGAAAAAGGTTAACAAATACATGGCTTTGCATTCTAAAAAGTTCTCAGCCTTTTTGTTTTTTTAAAGCACGGCTACATCAAAAAGAAAGGAGTCCTTGCTACTGAGCATGAATCCCACTGCTCGTTCCAAAGGACCTGTTTTGACCGGCCTGTGCTCTTAGCATTTGAAAAAACACTGTAATTTTTCCTTTGTTATTAGACTCACATACAGAGCAAAACAGAACCTAATTATTTATTATAGTTTTCCAGGATTTAGCATTTTATATTCCTTTCTCAATTTTCAGTATAATATATGAATTAGGTCTACTTTTCAATAGTTAAAAGCTGTACAAGTATTTTTTTGCTTTTCTGGTTTTTAAGGTTGGATAGGAGCAGTGGCTAAATGTAGAGCTGTAGGCTATTACTTACTCCAGCTCAAAGTAAAATGATCATGTATTTTCTGCTAAAGCAGATATTTCTTATTCTCTGCAAAGTGTTAAGCAGAAAGAAGAGACAATCCTGGATTGTGTTATTTCCACGTGTAAACATTTCTGAGTTTCAGCTGTAGTTTTTCATCCTCAAGGACAAACTGATGTCAATTCAGACAAAGCTCCTGCATAGTAGGAAATGTGATTTGCTTGAAATGTAATACGGAAGGGCCAAGGTAAACTCTGTTTTCTGCAATCTTTGACTTTAAAGGTGAAAAGCCTGATAAAATATCTGAAGGTAAAATGGCTGCATTTTCTTTGGGCTTTGACTTTAAAGGTTAGATTTTAAACTGAGTGGCTGACCCTGAGGAAGCTAGTTTCAGAAACTGTTGTATTTTTAAAGTTATTTTTAGTACAGTGTTTTCTCCATACTTCAGACTAGAAGTTTGAAGATTTGCTTCTGGTTCAGCTAGTTCAACTTAAATGAGTGTAAGCTTCTGCTTTTGTATCATTCAAATTTCTGCACTTAACCTACTTGAAAGGCTTGTTTCTGTCTGCAACATCCTGATAGCAGCCAATTTTATCCTTGCAGCATGGAGGCTTCCCAACTACAAAGTCCTGACTGCCATTAATGTGCTCTCTCTTTTACTTGGGGCAGTGGTTTTGTGTTCTTTGAAGCAAACTCAGACATTTTCAGTTCCTTCTTGCCCATAATTGCATACATAGATTGTGTAATTGTTTTTTCTTACAAATTACAATCTGTACATCTTGGATTAACTTCTTTTTCCCTACCATTTCTCCTTTCTGCTCCAGCTCTGAAGGGTCAATATAATTCTAATTGGGCTGAGAAGGATGTGACTCCTTCACTAGGTGCTTCATCAAATTCTGATCACAAAATCAATTCATATGAACTCCTTTCAGCCTATTGTTCTGTGATGCTCAGAATGGTCAAAACTGATGTTTATATTTGCTTTGCTGATGTAAAGATCTCAGAGGAGGTGAAAGCCACTTCTGCTATTGAATAATACAAAACTAATTCCAACTCTTCCAGCATAAGGCCTTCACCAGAAGTCCAGTAAGAACTCAAACTCTAATCTCCCATGAGCAACAAAACAAGACTCCTTAAAGGACAACATATTAAAACACTACTTTTGTGCAGAAGACAAAGCAACTAAATACAGAACATACACTGACATACCTGGGAACCATGCTGTGCCTACCCTGTGGCTGAGACTAAGGCTCTGTTCACCAGACCTGTCAGACTTCAGACTAACTGGTCTTTTACAGCTCTAGAATCTGATTTTAGATGTTAAATGAGTTGGGAATTGATGACATTTTGGCAGATCTGCTTTTAAATTCAGTGAGATCCTATACCACTAAGAATATTGAGCAAGACTTGCTGATATGGGTTATCCTTACTCTTTATCCTCCACCATATAGCAAATGTCAGAGGTGCTGAGCAGGATGTACCCTTTGATTTAGGCAGTACATCTTGATAATGTACAAAGCCATGAGGAATGGTTTAGTGAAACAATGTGGGAATGCATTTGGGTAAAGTGAGGTCTGTTAAAGAATGATCATTACCAGAAGTTTAAAAGATGCAAGGTCACACTGAAATAACTTCATTTAAAGATGTGGTACCTACCTCAACTGTCTTGCAGGTCTCCTCCAGCTGCGTGACAATCCCTTGCATTCTGTCATTGCTCCCCACCAGGACTGCAATGCCATCACTCAGCTCAGACTAGGCAGTAAGGGGACAGCAAGCAGAAGAGTGTTAGGGGCCGTCACACTTCAGGGTGACACATCTAAGAGTGGGGAGCAGGGGACAAATAAGCCGTACACAGGATATTACTTCACCTTTCTACCAGAACTGAGAAAAATTGGAGCTTTATGTGCCCCCAAGATACCTGTTTGTATTTTGACATTTGTTTCCTCCCTCAACACACTATGAAGACATTTAGGAATTTTTAATGGAGAAGAAACTGTCGTTTGGAAAGAGGAAAGCACTTTGTTCTAGAAAGTTCTTCTAGATGCTTTTGTCTGAAGTGCTATTTCAACAGGCCCCAAATATTTCCATTGGGTTTGTTGAGAGAAAAGACTCTTGGGAGGTTGTTTTTTCAGTGTCTAGTCACACCACTGTGATATTTCCCTGAGGACTGTAGCTCTTGGCCTTGGAATAGAGAAGAGGTGGTCCATGGACCCGGAGGGACCAAGGTGTTACAGAGTCCCTGGTGTGCAGGGAGTGGGGTTGGGGTTGTGGTGAGAGGGGGCAGAAGAAAAGGAAGAGAAGAAGGTAGAGGCTGAGCCACTGGCATGAGGGAAATGAGTGGAGGAAGAAAATAACCTGAGTGTGGGGGTGGAGATGATTGTGAGATATCCCTAAGAGAGACAAAGAAGCCAGTCCTAGGGAACTTGGGAAGGGTGCTGGGGCTGCAAGGGGCCCTTGGTACACCCTTGTAGTAACAGAGACAACTGTGTTCATGGTCTCCACAGCTCTGAACAGGATCCTTTGAGGCCTTCACAGCTCTTTAAAGGCTCCTTTGAAGCATGCGTCCTGCAGCTTCCAGGTTACGCCTCTCATCTTGGGCATGACAGCCCCTTTCCATGGGCACTCTGGAAAGGAAGACACAGCTTGCAAATCTCCACACAAAATGGGTGATGGGGGCATGGATTTAGTTCAATAAACTTCTCCTTCTTCTCCCACCTTTTCTGATTGAAAATGATGTTTTTAACTCCTTTCCTAAAGCAACTCCTCATTTGTAGTTTACACACACACGAGCATCTGTGTGACAAAGTTGGAGGCTGGGATTGAAAACTTGGCCTGTCTGATTGCTTGCCCCACTGGGGCCCTCCAGAAAAATGAGCTGTTTATCTCAGGAGGATAACCCAGTGAGTCAGGTTTTAAATTAACACTGTATTAAAAATAAACAAGTCTTTTACTGGTGACAGCAAGGGCAGAAGATGTTAGGTACATCCTGTGCTGCCAACTATTGAATATTTCTTCATTCACTTGCAGGAGGAGATTTTTCACTTAACTTTTCTTAAAAATGGCATGCTTAAATGTAAAAGTGTCTGATAGATAACTACTTGATTTGAAATGCTCTGTTCTCTTTCCAGTTCTTAGTGTTGAAAATACCACTTGTTTGTCTGATCTAAAAGCACTGCAAAAAAGGGATTAGGAACTCAAAAGAGAGATCCTCAGCTCCACATCAAAACTGGGACAAATTGTAATATCTTTTTGTGTGATCATTTATAAATTTATTTTCCTGTGTTTCTAAACAGATTTGTAAGAGCCATTCACTCACACTCAATGGTGGCAAAGGCGACCCCAGACCCCTTTGGAAACTCACAGGAAGCTCATGGGAATACATTCCCATTGATGGTCCTGTAAGTTTCTTCAAGGACTTTGAGAAACAGAAAGATATTTACCTTCTGTTGCTGGTAAACATTTGTGAGAGGAGCAACCTGACAGTCTTTGTGGGCACCAAAAATTTTGCACAAGGAGCAGGTGGGCATTTCACAGTTCAAACAATAAATATTAATTCTCTCATCTTCGTGCTCTTCACACATTGGCTGGTCACACTTCCTGTCAGGTCTGCGAAAGAAAACATTTGTCTAAAACAAAGATGGTGCTCATGAGTTTCTTCTAACAACATTTAAGAGTGTTAGCATGAAATATGGTACATTTGTATAGCAGCATCCAAGGCTGACTGAATGTGCAGTGTAGACTTACACCTGCCACATGGGATGACAAGAGACAATGGTAGAGCTTACTGTCCTGACACAATATGATGTGGTGACAAACCAGCAACACGACTTCATATGGGGATTTCCATATGAATGAGGAATATGACTGGGAGTGTGACACAATGCTTGCTCATATTTAAAAATTTAAATAACCTCACTAAGCCTGGACTCAGACTACTCATGTATTTTAATTAGCGTGTTATCTGTTTGAAATATGAAACATATGTAATTTCTTTCCGGTTCATCATGCAAATTGCTGTGCACTTGGCTTAATGCAGCAAAGCTGTTATGGGGGAGACTGATTTTAAGCAAGAGCTATAGATACTGATGAACCTTTTGGCCCTTAACTCTAAATCTCTACTGATGAGCTCTGTCAGGCCCTGGTCAGTCAATATTGAACAGCACTGGGTCCTTACAGCCTTTACATTAGGCTAGCAACCAAAACAAGGTGTCACACAAATTCATTTCAGCTGGGTGAACTTTACAGTGTCAAATGTTTTACCAGTAGTTTATTCATCTGTACACAGCAGAAAGAACATGGGCTACACAAGTGTTCTTCTCTTGTGCTAAGCCAGGAACTGTTGCCACATTATAGCTCAGTCTGATCTTCTCTTCACCAAAACAATTTATCTTTATACACCCAAATTTCCAAAACCTGCTGTCTTAGGATAATTTAGTTTTAGCTTCCTTCAAATGAGCCAATTAACCAACATTCCCAGTGAAAGTAACAGCTCCAGTCTGGTGTGTGTGGGCAGGGCGGCGCTTTCCTGAACCCACACTTCAGGCTTAGCACCCTGAGCACATCTGTGGCATCACATGAGTGTGTAAGGATGTTGTACAGAAGCTAAGGGCAAGTAGACTGATGGAAAGAGCGTGTCTAGGGTTCAAGCCTTCAAAAGCCACCACTGTTACTATGGCAATGTTAAATATTTTCAGCATAAACTATAATCCCCTTCTGCTACTGTTTGGAAAGAGAACTATAACTTACCTGTAGCAAGTGGAACAATGGCATAATATAAATATATTTTTCATCATTAGGAACTATGGAATTTAATGGAATTACATGGGAACATTTTTTAAAGCCCTTCTACAGATCTCTGTAGCAAGGAGGCAACCAGCCATTCTAGTAAAACTTAAAATGTATGGAAAAAGAAAATAATTATTTTATATTATATTACAGCAGAGTCTTTTCATACCATTTGGTAGAGTGGATACAGCATTTATTTTTTGATGACAAAGCATAAATTTTCTCTCCTGAGGGGAATGGAATATGATCAGTTAGATGCATTAAAAAAAAATCTAGCAAGAAACAAAATGTCTCACACATGCGTGATTTTTTTTTTTAAATTCAAGAGTGTGATGGGATTTAAAGGATTCATAAGAAAAATCTGTAATCTGCAATATAACATGATATACCAGAATAAAACAAGACAAACACTTCTGAAGAAAGCCTGAGTTATTTGGGTCAGATTTCCAGCATTCATTAACATAAGGCACTTTGTCAAATCCAGCATTGTTTCAATGCTAGTCAAAAAGAGATGTGTCTCCTCCATAAAAAATGCTTTACATTGTTTGCAGATTACTGCAAACAGCCCCTAATATATTCATGTCATAGTGCACCAGTGTGAGGGGCCAAGTGTGAGTGAAATACAGTGAATTTCAAAGTGATTAATTAAGCCTGAGATAGCAGCTCTTCCTACAAATATTTACAAGATCAGAGCCAGAAACTACTAGAATTTTATTGGACACTGGAACAGTGCCACATGCATGAAAGACACATTGCATAGAGCAAAAAGGTGATGGTGTCAAGCAAGTTCAGCCAGAAGCAGCCAACCTTCAAAGGTGCCGCGAAGAGCTGGAAGCAACCTGGCAGAACTCCCTGAACTAGTGGGGCCCTGAAGACAGTGTCAGAAGACTAGAAATAAACAGATTTACAGTCTCCTCCCCAGGCAGTGCAAAAGGAGAAATTTTTAGTACACCACTCCCTGACTTCAGACGGGATCCTCTTAATCTATGTTGGGGTAGCAAAGGCCAAAACATAACCTCTGAATTTAAAATGGAGATTGCTTCTGAAACAGGAGATTAAAGAGTAGCTGATAGGAAAACGACTGCATGGCTTTAGCAACAGAAAGGATTCACCAGAGCTGTGCTGGTGACCAGAGAAATGTCGGGTTGCTGAAATGTCCTGATAACTCTGTGGTCTCATTCTCTTTGAAATGCTAAACCTGTGTTTGACTGCCAGAGGCTTATTCTTTCCCATTGAAATTGTGTTTGGACAACACCTGAAGAACTGACTGGGTCCTGTTCTGGACGGCCCAGTACATGAAGACAGACATACTGAAAGGAGTCCAGAAAAGGGCCCTGAGGATGATTCAGGGTCTACAGCAGCTCTCCTGTGAGGAAATGCTGAGAGAGCTGGAACTTTCAGCCTGGATCAAAGAAGGTTAAGGAGAATTTTAACAATGACCTTGATCTTATCAATACCTCTGATTATCTAAATACTTGAATGGAAGGTGTAATGTGGATGGAGTCAGGCACTTTTCAATGCCAGGACCAGAGGCAATGGGCACACACTGAAACACAGGAGGTATCCTCTGAAGATCAGGAAACACTTTTTTACTGTGAGTGACTAAGCACTGGCACAGGTTGCCCAGGATGCTAGTGGAGTTTCCATCCTTGAAAATACTCATAAGTCATCTGGACATTGTCGTGGGCATCTGGCTCCAGATCCTGCTTGAGCAGCTGGTAGTTGGACCAGATGACTTCCAGAGGTTCCTTCCAATCTCAACCATTCTGTGACTGATTTGGTGGGACAGTGCAAAGTTGCTGGGCACATGAAAAAGCACACTTTAATTAAGAATATAGTAAGACCTTAGGAAAACTGCTGTTACAAAGCATGTTTTCAGTAGGATTTTTTCAAATCCAAAAAGGCTTCTACTGAAATCCTGAATCTAATTTTGATAGTGTTTTTACTGAGAATCCTAAGACAGCTGTAGCCCTTCCTGTGGCATCACATCACCTGATGTCTGCACCTGGTCAGGTGATGGAGAGGATCTGCATGACTTTGTGAGGCACAGTCAGGTCATAGTGAAGCTATGAAACTGCATTTGCCACAGTATCAATCTTGGGCATGCAGTGCTAATGACTGGCCCCCACTTGACTTCATGCTGCTCACCACAACCCTTTGAGTCTGGTAATACAGCAAGATTTTGGTCCAGTTCACTTTCCACTGTCCACTCTAAGCCTTATTTACACAGGTTTTTTTTAATAAAGATGTCACAAGAGACAGTGTCTAAAGTCTAGATAAACAGTATCTATTGCTCTCCTCTCATGTCCTGAGTTAGTCAACTCACTATAAAAAGGCTATCAGATTAGTCATGATGATTTCCTCTTCATAAATCCATGCTGACTATTTCTAATCACCTTCATGTTATTTATATATTTGGAAATGATTTCTAGGAGCATGAAATACTTTCTAGGGACCAGCGTGCATAACTAGCCTGTACTTCCCTTGATTCTCCTGTTTGCATTACTTGAAAATTGGAGAAACATTTGCTTTCTTCTAGTCCAGTCCACAGGAAACCATTCCAATTGCCTTTCAAAGATTATTGAGTGACCTTGCAATAATATGTCAGCTCCATCACCACTTATATCTGCCTCCCACCAGGATGTCCAAATTTTTTTTATCCTGATCCTCCCTCCACCAAAGGTGAGTCTTCCCTGCTCTAGACTTTCCCACTGGTCTCAGTGGGATTCCATAAAACTCAACTTAATAGTAAAGTCTGAGGTGAAGGTGGCATTGAGTACATTGGCCTTTTCTATGTCCTGTGTTACCTGAGGCCCTGCTCTGTTTAGTAGAGAACTCACAGTTTCCCTAATCTTGCTGCTGATGAAGCTGTAGAAGCTCTCATTAGCTTCCATGTGCCTCATCAAAATCAGTTCCAGGTGGGCTTTGGCTTTTCTAACTTCATCAGCGTGTGCTTGGGGAGTGTCTCAAAATCTTGCTGAATCACCTGGCCATCTTCTTTTTGCTTCTTTTTTAACGTTTTATTTTTATCAGGAACTCTCTATTAATCAACACAGGTATTTTGTCACTATTATTTGAGTTCCTGTATATGGGGACAGACCATTTTTGACCTTGGAGGAAGGTGGTCCTTGAAAATCAGGCACAATGAAGGACTCTCAAAAGCAATGACAAGCCCACCAATATCCAGGGTAAAAATGGGGCTTGAAAAATGAGAAGGCTATAGAAGTTCACGTGTACATAAGAATTCCTGTAGCTCTGTTATACTACTATCATGAATGCCCAGCCCAAGAAAACTAGTGGTGCAGGTGAGCTTGGGGCTTTGTCTCATGGGGAGTTGGAGAAGATCCAGATGATTTCACTCCTCATCTCTTTCACTGCACAGCTTGTGGGGCTCCTTCTCCTTGGTGGCCTGTGGTCAGGGAGTACATTTCCCTGGCCCAGCCTGTCTGAGCTCCCCAGATGCCCCTGCAGCCTGGCAAGGAGATATATCCTGCCTTGGGAATTTGGGCTAAGACCTCGGAGGTGTCAGGGACAGAGACTTCTGGCAGTGCTGGCTATGGGGCCCTGCAGGACATCAGCACCATGTAGGCTGCTCTCAGCACAGCCTCGTTCCTGCTGCACACTCTGCTCCATCCGTGCTTGGGGCTGCAGGGACAGCCTGTTCCTCAGGCTCTCTCTGGTAAGTGCAAGATAGAAAGAGTGCTTGGCCCTCCCTGATCAGGATTCAGCTGGTAACAAAGCCCTTTTGATCTGGAATAGCCAGCTGAGATCATTAGAACCTGCCAGATTTCACAAAAAGTCACAGCCTCCCATTGCTACCCTTTCCTGGTGACAGCAGGGGTCCTGATGTTCCTCAGATAGTTTAGGTGATCAGTGGCCTACAGATTTTCAAAGACTGGTTTAATTTTTAGCCAACTCAATTTCCACTGTTTTCAGTCCTTTACTGTCTTTTAAAGCTTTTTACAAGCCACCTCCTGCTTGAAGAATTCTTCCCTTGTGTTGCTAACACATTCTAAATTGGGCAACAGGCTATGCTGCCATCAGCTGGAATTTGATGAGCAATGGGATAAAAGACCATATGATGTGATACTTAGTAATAGGAGGGGCTGCATATGAGGGCTCAGGCGGACTCTCCCAACCTCAGTGCAGCTCCTGCCCCAGTTTATTTTAAAAAAAACACCAATTCCTTACTTCAAATAGAAAATCCAATTACAAAAATCTAAAAAACAAGCAAAAAACCCAACCAAACAAAAACCAAACAAAAACCAAACAAAAACCAAACAAAAACCAAACAAACCTTTTGAAACAAGCTATTTTTGGCTAAGCAGTAGTCAAGGTTTTCTCCCTTTACTCTCCCTTTACTCTAAGTTCATGTGGAATGCAGGTGGGAGCTGGCCTCATTCTGGCACATGCAGTTATAGTGAATTATACCCAGAGGAGAACTCAATGGGAAGAGGTTCCTGTCTGGAAATCACACGTGCTACCAGTTTGAACGGCTGTTTTGGGAGGAACAAGGGGGCAAAGATCATATCTCACCCTTCCTCCTACATATCTCTGCCAGACCCCAGTTGCCAGGATGGAAGAGACTGGTACAAAAGGAAGAAGTGGGGAAGACTTGATTTCCCTTGACTTTTTGCTTTCAGTGGGACAGAACAGGGAAAAGCCATGAAAGATCTGCTCACACTCTCAGGGGAGCCCAAGGAATGTTAGGCAGAGGGAGATAAGCAGCTGAGGCCCACAAAGGACTGAATAGTTTAGATAGTGCTGCTATGTGCTGCTGCTACTATGTAACCCTGACAATAACTTTCATTCTAAGGACATACATGAAGGTTAAATACACACTTTAACAGATTAAATAAACAAGTTTTTTTGACAAATATATAAGCAAACCTATGTTCTTTTTTTTTTTTTTTTTCCCATTTTATTCATCATGTTTTACTTTCATGGAATTTTTAAAAAATTTACTAACTCTACTAAACCTATTCTTACATTTCTCATTTCTACTTAATTGTATTTTGTACCAATGCCCCATGAACTACATAGGAAAGAGGACCTGCCTTTCTTTTCTTTCTTTTTTTTTTTTTTTGAGTTAAATACAACTCTGAGCTGAAAACAAAAAAAAACAAACAAGGAAGACATGAGGCCACACATGTCCAGCTTGTTTGGTCAAAAGCAAAGTCCACAATTGCAGCTTTGTTGATTCATTTCCTCTGAGATTTTCCTGACTAAAATAATATTTGAGTATCAATGACACACACAGGGGTAGCTGACCTTTACTTGGCATGGAGCGCAAAGGGCAGCAGAAAGGACAATTTTAAGCCAACTTCGTGCTCTCCAGGGCTTTGGAGCTCCAACCTATGCCCAGCTGCAACAGCCCTCAGAGAGATTCAAACAGCTAAGAATAGCCAAAGCTACTGCCAGGCTCCAAAGTGTTGTCTCTGCGGGTGACTGTCCTCCTCTGCTGGAGGAAGCATCCTCCGCCATCCCTGGGTTCTGTTGGTTGTGTCCATCTGCACCAGTGATGCCATTGTCTCTCTGTCTTGGGAAACTCAGCTCTTTGCTGTGGTGGGATCAAAAGACCCAGGGAGCATGGCCAGGATTACAACTTCCAGGTGAACAAAACACCTGGTCATACAGAACCAGCACTAAGTATCTATGCTGGTGACAAAAAACAGCTTCCCTGGGCAAGACCTCCTTGCTTGGTGGCCTGGGGCCAGGTTAACTTCATCATAGGATCACAGATTTATAGAATAGTTTGGGTTGGAAAGAACCTGAGAGATCATGTTGTTTCAAAGCCTCTACCTTGGGCAAAGACACGTTTCACTAGCCCAGGTTGTCTGAAACCCCATCCCTCCTGGTCCTGAACACTGCTAGAGATGAAGCATCCACAATCTCTCTGGGCAACCTGTGCCAGTGCCTCACCACCCTCATAGTGAAGAATTTCTTTCCATACCTAATGTAAACCTATTCTCTTTCAGTTTAAAGCCTTGTCCTACCACTTCATGCCCTTGTCAAAGTCCCTCTCCAGCTCTCTTTTAGCCCCCTTTAGCTACTGTAAGGTGCTATAAGGTCTCCTCAGAGCCTTCACTTCTCCAGGTTGAACAACTCCATCTCTTTCAGAGGAGAGATGCTCCAGCCCTCTAAGAATCTTTGTGCCCCTCCTCTGGATTCACTCCAGCAGGTCCATATCTTTCTTGTGCTAAGGACTCCAGAGCTGGATGCAGTACTCCAGGTGGGGTCTCATAAGAGCAAAGTAGACGGAGAGGATTATCTCCTTCACCTTCCTCCCTGCTAAGTTCTCCACAGTGGCAGCATGAATCCAACCCATCCCAAGGAAATAAAGATAAGAAAACATTTTTCTATTTCTGGATTCATTACACGTCAAATGCAAGAAATTACCATTCAGGAGTAATCTTACTTTTAAGAATTAACCCATTCCCCTGCCCTGAGGTCTTGATTCTTGTGCACAGCCACAGAGCTCTGATACTTATTGTTTACCACTCTTTTATGGCCTCCTAAATAAGACTTAATTTCATAAGTTCACATCCCAAACTGACAGGAATGGAGATATTTTAAACAGAATTTTCATTTGGCATTTTCATTACAATGCAGGGTACCTTCTGTGTGAAATTCAGTTTTCTTCTTGTTTGCACTGTCTGTACCTCAGGATTTTCTAATAAGATTTGAAATCCTTACCCTTTTTTAGCATGAGAATGCTCAGGTTAAGGAGAAAAGAAATGTATGAACTGTTTTTGCAATAAACGATGTTAACCATGATACTTTTCCCTTAATCATGTGAGTAGCTGTGCTGACCACAAAGGTGTTGCTTGCACAGGTAAGTGTTGTTCATGTGAATAAATATGGCCCAATCCTCTGCTGTAAGTGGAAACAGGGAAGTTCAGCATCTATTTGGATACAGTTTTTTATCCTCAGTGAGAGCTGACTTCATGGTGCAGCAGATAATCAGGCATGGCAACACAACCCCTTTCTGCTTTTCCAAGAGACAAAACAACAAAATCAACCTCACGTGTGTCCTCCGAAGGACACGAATTCCCTTGTTACCTTGTGGACTCCTGCTTGTAGATGTCAATGATGTTCTCCACCAGCAGGTTCCTCTGCAGCCCGTAGACACCGTGTCGGTCCAGGACCACCTCGTGCCTGCAGGAGGGACAGCGGAAGCGGCCTCCCGACGCCACAGTTGTACCTCCCCTGGTCGGCAGGTAGGGGTTGGAGGCCTGCTCTTGCCAAGCAGCACAAGGAGAGGGAATTATGGCCATGCAAAACCATGAAAACCTCTTCTAAAAGCACCAAATGTTAAGAAACCATTTGTCACTATGCCAAATGAGAGGGTAATTCCAACATGCCACCCCTGGGAAAACACCTGGTGGCTGCTGGGCGAGGGGCCAGTCCCTCAGTTCACGCTTGGCCACATCACCACAGCCAACACGTGTCACTTTCACCTGCTGTGAGCTCAGCCCTGGTCCCCGGATACATCAACTTTGGCCTTAAATCACTCCCCCCACACCTTGTCTCACCAACTGTTAAAATTGATCTACCAAAACATGTAAAAACTCTTCTTTCCCATTCATTCCAGCCAATCCTGCTTGGGAAGCAGAGCTCTCTGTGGGAAGAAACCTACCTGGAAGATGTCACTGGCACACTTCCGACAGAGGTTGTGCTGGCAGGGCAGGATGACCACTGGCTTGGTGAACATCTCCAAACAGATGGGGCAGATCAGCTGTTTCTCCAGGTTATCCATAGTTTGCTGCTCTTTGGAGAACGACTTGTAGCTCAGGGAGGTGCTCATCCCTAGCTTTTCCTGGGGCATATGCTCAGGGCCACGGCCTTGTGGAGAGGTTTTGGGGTTAATTTCCCTTGAAATAAGTCCAAGGCTGTGCTGCGATCAGAGGCTCTCTGGGTTGCTCGGGCCAGAGGACATTGTTTGAACGAGGGGCTGAGCAGAGCCGGGGCTGTTTTTAGCAGCGCTGCGTCACCAGCTGCCGTCTTGCCGTGCCCATATATGCGTGTGAGAGCAGGACAGGCTGGGACAGGTGACAGCTGCTGGGGGAGGGGGGGAGGCCAGAGAGGCCCTGGCTCTCCTCACTCACACATGGCAGCCTTCACCCCTTGAGGAGTTGGGGAAGTGATAAGCAAAGGCCATCCGCTCCCTTTTCTTATCTTTGCAGGTCAATGGAGATTGAAGGACTTGTCCCAGCCTGTGCAGCCACATCCTGTAGCCTAATAGACATTCTGTTGTGAGCAAGCAGCCGTGGCCATGAGAGGCAGAATGTAATTTTGGCCATGTGCTTTGGCAGACTCCAGGATCCTACCTTCCCAAGGTGTGAAGTACATGTGGTTACTGGAGAAGACAATAGGAGTGATGCCTGCTCTGGAGCTTGAACACTTCAGGGTGTAAACATTTCACTGCCTTGAAATCCAGACAAATAAAATTGCATGCTTGTAACTGTGCGTAAGTTTGTTCTGGTAAAATTTTAGTCTTAGGAGCTGTAACATAAAAATCCAACATGACTGATTGTGCCACTAACTCCATGGTCAGGTTAAATATGCATGAAAAACATTATTTGGATTTCTGGATGAGAAAAAAAAAAAACCAGAAGAAATACAGCGTGAAAGGCTTTCATTTGTGCTGCTAGAGAATAGGTACTAATTGTATATGCTCTCTCCGCGATAGTTTAATTCAAATACATTTTAGTTTTGGGCACTGCTGTGTTTATATCTGTTTATTAGACACTGATATCCCTTTCAGCTTGGCACTTGTTCCAGAGTTATTTTTAAAATGACAATTTCCCAGATAATTTGTGACATGTGATGCCTGATCTTAAGGGAAAGCCATCTGTGCTTCTACTTGCCAATAATTTATCACACAACTGTACAAGCAATAAATATCTCATCCCCAAATTTAAGCCAAAGTCCCTGCATTACTGTATAATATCACTTTGCCACCATACTGTACATGTAATCAGAATATTTTATTCTCTTTTAGTCAATAAATACAATAGTTTCTCAGTATCTTGTAGAAACCTTTAATATTTATTCTGTTTTATGACTGTATAGTGCTTGCATCTGAAAAATGCAGTAGAGCAGCTGAGTGAATACCCTACACATCCAGATTCTAAAGCAGGGCCCTCAGTCTGCATGCAACACCAGTCTGGAAACTGTGCACTTCAGGAAAATATAAAAGTGAAGGTTTTAATGGATTTCTGCATAAAAATGAATACTATCCGCTGCATGCAATTGTAATAAATAACATTAAATGAAATGTATTATTGACTATTTTATTTTCCGCATCTCACATGCTTCTTAAGTGTTTGAGTGAACTCCTGTACTCGTTCACAGACCACTGAGCTGGAAAATTCCCCTGTGTAAACTTACACACATTTGTCAGCAGTCCCATAGAAGCGAATCGATTTTTCTAAGTCTTGCATTCATGGGAAATTAGTCATAGTTTAGTTAAACCCACTTGAAATCACACCTTTGCTTCAACTGCCTGGTGTGGACAAGAGCCTGGAGTCCAGTGGGAGAAGCTACTCTGGCAGCTGAGCTGAGGACAGCTGGGGCTTTTGGCAGGGCTGGCAGGGAGCCTTCCCTGGCAGCAGCAAGAAGATATTTCTCTTCTTTCCCTCCCTCCATAGCTGGGTCAGAGGTGACTTTTGCATCTGGAGGAATCTGAACGCCTCATTCTTGCCCTCCTAACTTTGAGTCAGCTGCCCCTTGCACAGCAGAACCTGCTTCAATAAGGGGCTCTGAATTAGATGAGGAAAGCCATCCTTATCTGGCAGGGCAGGAACTTCCACCTTACTGCACAGGCAGAAACAGGAAAATTCTGGAGGGAAAAGCTGAAGGCTAGAAATGTCAGCACACAATACATCTGCAAATGCTGATGTAGGGAAGGAGGTGTTCATGTCAGGCAAAAAAGGCCATGCTGTCCCTTTGAAGAATGAACTGAGGGACGTCTCCCAGTGTAACATACCTCTGGGATGAAATTCTGGTGAGTTTAAGTTTACTTACCCACAGTAACCCCCAGAAGCCTTCTGTTAACTGGCTGAGCGGGACATCTGATGCATCTGAAGAGGACATCTGGTAGAGAAAAGGTGAGGGACAGTGTGCTGGTGGTTTTCTCCTTTCTGTGTGCTGAAGCATGTTAACACAGACAGGTAACAAACAGTACAACCAAAAAGAGGAGTCAGCAAAACAAAGATAAACCCACCTTTTGTAACCAGGCCTGAGTGAAATATTTTTCTGCAGACATGTGAAAAATTAGTACAGGTTTTTCTGACAAGGTATTATGAACCACAGCAATAAATTATAGGTAAAGAAATGAAGAAGCTTAACCAAACTTGCAAAGGCAGGATGAGAAATGCCAGGAAGGCCACACATTGTATGACCAATTTGCAACAAGGAGGAAAAGAGCCAAGTCCAAGACCCTGAGAAAAAACAGGAAGATCCTGCAGCTGGTCTTCAGCAGGGACTACTTAGTATAAGTCTCAAACAACTTGCACTGAGAAAGAGCCTGGCACCCTCCGATCTCTCCTGGCAGCCCTGTCCCCCTCCTCTTCCTCCCCCTTCCACTCCTGCAGGGGAAGACCACCAGCACACACAGCTGTCCACCTCTGAGGAGACACCAAGTCAAGACATCTCTCAAGGGACAAAGAAAAGGCAAGAGGATTTGATTTAACACTCCTTCTGGATAGAAAATATGGATGACTTCCAGCCATCACCAAGAAGAAATTTTTTTTTTTTTTTTTTTCCCAGTATTGCTTGTCTGGGAGTGTTACACAGCTTTGTTGACATAACCAGAACACTAATTCCTAAATATAGTTTTGCTTTTACAGACATTACTTCTAACTCCTCTATTTTGCAGCCGAGTAACAGCTTGTGGCCTGTGCACTGATGGCCTGGAACCTGGAAAGCTGGCTGCAAAGCAGTGGGTTTAGGAGAGGGATTTGGAGAAGGAAGGAGAGGTTGAATGTTGTCCAGGTTCAGGTTTCAATGCCATAATGGCATCTCTGGGTTTTGCATTCACAGAATTCCCCTCTGCAACCTCTTATCTTGTACCAGAGTTGTAAAGCTTTTGTGTGTCACTCAGAAAATCAGCCCTGTGGCTCTCTCGCATGACTGGAAAACAAAAAGAAAAATCATATTTTGGCCAGAGGATGCTGTCAAAAATAAGCTCCCACATGACCTGCTTCCCCAACAAGCCTGCAGAGACAAAGTGCATTCTGCAAGGAGCAGGCTCCTTGTCCAGGCACCCTGTCCTGGACATGGTGGGTGGTGAGAAGCATCCTGATCCATGGGATGACAGTGCCTTGGCCTGCTGCCACCTCCCCTTCTGTCTGTCCTGCGGGTGAGCAAGCACCCCGCCATCCAGCCGAGGAGTGGGAAGACCTCTACACTGGCATCTGCCTAAAGCAGATGGGAGCTGCCCATCATTCCCTGGGAAGGGATAAATACCCACCCCCACCCCACTGCCTCCAGGAGCTCCCCACAATCCTGAAGCTGGTCAGACACACCTGCATGCTTCCCACAACAGCCCAGCTGCTGGAAGAGGACAGAGCTGGTGGGTGCTTGAGCAATACAACATCCTAACAAAAATGAGGTTGCCACTTCCAATTCTGCTCACCCAAATGTGAAACTTAGGGCAAAATGATGGTGCATCCTTCCCCTCTTCCCATACTGCTAACTCTGCTTGTTGTTTTGACTGAAAAGGTCTGCATTTTTAGCTAAGCATCCCTGGGGAGGCTAGGGGATGTTCTCCATCAATCTCACCTTTTGTCTGTGCCCATTCACTGTGCTGTGAACAGTTCCTCAGGAGCGGGTGGCAAGCACTGGCATTCCCACCTACAAGCCAGCATGTTGGAGATTCAGATTTCACTTACATTGGCAACAACTTACTGAGCCGACAAGCCAGCTACAAGATGAAGCCCTCCTACCTATACAAGTGCAAACTACAAATTATATTTTGCATTTCATGATTTTATTGTGATCCATATACACTCCATGATAAATACTGAGACTACTCTTGTGTGTGATTCAATTTATGCAGCCAAAGAGAGCTTTTGCAACAGAGACAAGTGCTTTGAAAAACAGTTGCTTTTTGAGGCTGACTTTTTTTCACTCAACACACACATACACACACACACACACACACACACACATATATATTTGTCTTTGTGTACTTCATATGTGATGACAGGCCATATGCGGTCAGTATTTGGAGACCTTCTAAAAACAGTCTGAGGGTTGGTTTCAGATCTCCAAGAAAACAAAGACCAGCACAGGAGACAATGACATCTTTAGAAAGTTTCTTTTGCACATGAAATCACAGCAGAAAAGGAAAGCTCAAAGCATTTCCAAGGGTGAGTCACTGGGAGCACATCAAATGTACAGGACATGAGATTTCAGGCACAAGCTGCAAAGACCACACAGAGGGAGGATGTCTGTCCTTTTCTTTTTAATAGAGGGTGGACACTGCCCTGAGCTGAACTGTGCTCAAAAGCAGCCTGCTCTGGGCTTATCCACACTCAAGGACCTGGATTGCAGAAAAACAGTGGAAATATGGGATAAAAGGGCATATGTATTAGATAATAACTTCTGTACCAAATTAATCAGTGGTACCAAGATGAATTATAGCAGACAAACCTCAGAGATTTGGATTAAAAGACCCTGAAAACAGTCAGAGTCTGTGGACAAACTGCATCAAGGACTCATTCCTGCATGCTGTGGTTCTTCCATCATTGTGATACTAAAACTTGAGGTCACTGCCTCATGTGTCTGCCTGGGACAAAAAAGATCCTTTGGCTTCCTTCTGCCCTCCAGCAGTGCCAGCAAGCCAGCATGAACCTGTCACCCAGCTTTAGGGGACACAGGGAAACAAAACCCTCCTGAAAGAAGGTCCTGGTTTCCTCAGAGTCCTCAAGGTCAGGATGAGAACTGGTGGTCAGGCCATACCCTTCAGGCAGGCAAGGTGACCCTGCAAGGTGATTAACATGAGGCATTTATCATGTTCCTTGCAAATATCTGTATTTTCTAAAGTATCAAAATCAGTGAACCTGAGAAGACTGGATGTAGGATAACAAAAATGAAACAAACAGTTCAGCATGTCCCCAAACCATATGCAACTTTACAAACCTGGAGATTCCCAAATCCTTATTCCCTCCACACATCACTGCTAGGAAGAGATCCATATTTCACAGCCAAGGCATAAAAGTATGTCCAAAGGACTGAAGGAATTATTGAATGTGGGAAAGAAACAGTGCTGTACTACTGTCTACCTAAAAATAGGTCCTTTCCCAGGCTAGGGACAAGTTTCACAGATAACAGGAACAGGCTTGCTTTTCCACACCCCCAAACATATCCTGCAGTGAAAATAAGACATGAAGGAAGAAAGGATATAAGTAAAACAAAAGCAGTTAGAAAAAGGGGAGAGCACACCAGTTAGAAAAGTGGGAAAATCTCACTTCCTTTAAAAGAGTAAGCAACCAAGTACTTTACTATTCTAACACAACCCTCTGCTTTTCAAATGCACCCCTGACCCTTTTCCCTCTATTTTGCTATTACAGCATCCCATGAGAGCTTGTTTGTAATTCACAGCTCCATGTCTCCCGTACTAGCAGAAAGGTAGGAATGGTAAATCCTCCTCAAGTACCTGCATTTTGTGGAATAACAGGGATGTTTTTTACTGGAGTGCGTGAGTTGGTGCTGGGGCAGTGGGGAGGAACAGAGGTAGCATAGCAGGGGCAGTGCTAGGGGGCCTCCTAAGCATACCAGAATATAAGGAAAAGGGTTGCAGAGCTTTAGCAACATGATTTTTGACTGGGTGACAGATTTGTTTCTTGCTCTGGACTTAACGGGCAATAGCAGCAGCACTATTGCTGCAGCACTGCTGCAGCCCCAGCTCTGTCAGTAGGAAAGGAGAGTGATGTTCAGTAGGGACAGACTTGTGTTTCACAGCACAAATCCAGCTCAGGCGTCCCAGCTGGCATCAGCTCATCACTTCACAGGGATACAGCCCTGTCCCAGTGTCAGGTTTCTCCCTAGCCTTGGTCTGCTTGACATAAGCCACTCTTGATGCTATTTCAGAATGCTCTCCATTGCTCAGCTGGCAGAGCAGAGGACTGCAGATATTTTTATTTTTTTTTCCAGGACAATACTCAGGTCCATAGTTCAAAGGAGAGACTGATTTTAAGTTTGTACTCAGCACAAACTTTATACCAAACCGGAGATCTGCTGACACTCCATCCAGCTCCCCAGGATGGTCTAGTAATGTTCTCATCCATCTTGAGGGTCATTCTTTCAGGACAGAATAGAGATTCAGTGCTTGAAGATAAAGGGTCAAATATTTCCATATTACAGCTAAAGAAAAATACTGTGTTTGTGAGCAGGAATGCTTTCACACAGTAAGCTGCTACCAGAACTGAAGTGTCTATTTATCAAGTGGCTGGTGGCAAAGGTAACAAATGTTCTTAGGGGTTGTTGTTTTTTTTTCCAAATTCCTCTGTTTTCCTTTTATTTCCTTTTGCTATATACCCATATGCCTTGTAAATGCTTTCAAGGCATATAGCAAAACCAGCATGACTCTTCATTCCTGAGCACCAATACCTTTTCTTTCCTTTTGAAAGTCAGATAAGAGAAAGTTTCCCTTTTGGCCATTTTCCAGTCAGGTTCTTTCACCCACTCCTTCACATGAGACTTTTGTGAGCATAGGGGAGCATAGCACTTGAGAGAGAGATGCAGGCATATGCAAGGAAAACAAGGAAAAGCCTTCAAGCCAGGCACTTTTAGCTACAATCAGGAATGCCATCCACTGTGACATTGTGTTCATTGTACCAAGCAGCAGTTTATTGCATTAACGTCCTTTTGAATTATCACTTCAGGAAGCATCTCAAGCACGTCGGCCCATGTCCACACACGTGGTGTTGCATCACCCTCTCCCCACACCAGGCTGTTCCCTAGGAGTCAGCTCTTCTCATTCTGGCAGAGTTTAGGGAATGCAAGGGAAGAAAGGGTGCACAGCAAGTCCTTTCACCGTAGAATAATTCAGAATTTTTATGTCTCCTAAAAAGCCTTGACCTTGCCAC